GTAATCCAAAGTTACATTTTAAATTTGGACCGTGTATATTATCATAATTTATTTCTCATAATTTAATAATAATAGGTTAAATTTTAAACTTAGTCAACGTTATATAATAACAGAACAAAAGAAGTAGAGTATTAGATTTATACTAACATGATATTTATACTTCGATTTAGTAAAAAGAAAACGACTTGCATTGTTGGATCTTCTAATAGCAGTCTTTCAAGAAGGTACTCTAACTAATATAAATATCAAGGAGGAAGTTGACACTTTTATGTTAGGGGTATGCATTTATAAAAATTATCTTCGTCCTTTTATACATTATTTAGATATATGTATATATCGAAGCATATCAATCATATCATGTGTGATTATAGGGCTATGATACTTCAACGATTGCTATAAGCTTTCTGTTAGCACTATTAGCTGAGCATAAAGACATTCAGGTATTTATTATTAAATAAGCATCCTTAAAAAAAAACAATTTATTAATTTCAGTAATTCAAGAAGTTATTATCGTTGAAAAATATTAAATTTTTGTTTTTTAAATAAAAATACATATGTGCCCAATAAATAATTTGTTTTTCTGTACGAACAAAAGTACATTTGATATACTTAAAAATGTGTATATAAGTACACATTTCAAACTTTTTCATATTTTATAGATTATGTAATATGTAAATTTTGAATATTTTAATCAAAACGCCTCTAAATTAAATGTTGTATTCAAAATTATTTCTATCTACATTGAAACATTACAATACTAAAAAAAACGCATTTTTTTAATGAATATTTTATTGATACAGAATCGTGTCAGAAAGGAAATTGATACTGTTATGCAAGAGAATGGAGGGAAATTTACTATGAAATCATTTCAAAATCTATCATATTTAGACAGATGTATAAAGGAAGCAATGCGTTTATATCCCAGCCTATTTATAATATCTCGACGTACTGAGGAAGACATAAAATTACGTATGTTTTTAATAATATATTACAAATATATAATCAAATGTAGAAAACAAATATATGTATATAAAATGCAATATTCTTATTTTTAGGGATTAAAAAATGTCTACATTTTTATAGATTTATTTATAGAGAATATCCTAGAAGAAAAAGTCAGTATTTTGAGAGATCATTGATAGTCGGTCATTTTAAGCAAAAATGTTCATATAAACATATTTCCTATTTCGAACGGTTTCCGAGATCATTTGAATTTAACGCGCAATGTTGCATCTGCTGAAACTTGTTTACATTTGTTGACTGTTACGTTGATTGTAATACTTTATATGTATATTATCCACACAGAATATCTATAATCTGTGGATAGGGACAGTATAGCGAAGGTTCTGTGGATGATCAGCTGCGCGAAACAAATAAATTTCGTATCCAATCCGTAAACATTTTTTCGTTAAACGAAGTACGAAAGTATTATTAAAAATGTCGCACTTATATCAAGTATATACATATGTTGCATGCTTCTGCAATAGTAGTGCTCTTTGCTGCTACTGTTGAAAAATACTGTCGGTATATTAAGTTCAAATCATTTTGGAAAACGTTTAGAATAAAACATATATGTTTATAGAAACATTTTTCTTAAAATGATACTATCATTTCTCAGAATATTGACCTTTTCTTTTGAGACATCCTGTATAATATTTTTAATATATATATATGTATGTATGTATATATAAGAACATATATTATTTTTAGAATATTAATACTATGTAGCAAATTCAATTATCACATCATGTTTTCCATTACGCATAAGGCATACAACATAACTTATAATGTATTGCATATAGACGTGTATTTTTCAAATTATAACAAAGTTTTTGATTAATATTTGTAAATTGCATCTCAATGTACAATACGTGTTTTTAGAGTCATATTTAGTACCTCATGGAACAATGGTAATTCTCAATATCTATGGAGTCCACAGAGATCCTAATTTTTGGCCAAATCCAGAAATATTTGACCCGGATAGATTTTTGCCTGAGGAGATCCAAAATCGTCATCCGTATTCGTATATACCATTCAGTGCTGGACCACGTAATTGTCTCGGTAAGCCATACTTTTTTAAATCTCATATATATCTCATAAACAAATTGTAATACTTATTATAAGATCGGAA